TTGTGTGTTCTCTTGTTGTGAAGTACAATAAACACGTCTAGTTAGCATGTCGTAGTCCGAGTCTCCATGTGCGAACCCAGTACTTTACAGTCCCACGAATGGCTGGATCCAACTGGTGGCCAGCCCATTGACACCACTACGGGGCAGCCTAATAATATGTTGCCAGCATCCTCAGCACAGAACCCGGGGTGGTCTTTCCCGAGAGAGAGACACCCCAAAATGACCTGTGAACTTCCGCAAGCAGTGCCCTATGAAGCCAGGCTTGGCTTAAACAGTGGCTTTTGCTGGGAGGCTAGAAGAACCACATCTTAGCTGAGAAAACTCAGGCCAAAGAGAATTCTCCAGGCTGGCTGCACTACCACGCACCCTCCATTCAAGCAACCCCCCCCCCTTGTCTATCCTGTCAGCTCAGTCCAAAAAGGACTAGAACGGGCAGGTCTCTGCCCTTGCCTCAGGCATATTCTACTGACAAAATGGCTATTTTGTTTGTCAAATGTACAGGCAGGCAGGCAGGCAGGCAGGCACAAAAAGCCTCTGGTCTGTGCTATTGTCATGAATGAAGTGTGTTGCCTGTTTCCATCCTCCTCTCCTGTTTCGCCTATATGTCAAAGAATATCTTTGGAATAATCCTCTCATTCCTGTCTCCATATATTTGTCTAAGATATTTGCATTCTTACACCTATGCCAGACTATCAAGGTAAACATTAACTTTCCATGTCTAGTGAATGGTCACCCATTCAGGTTCACCCTGCCACACATTAAGAAACATCACTTCTTTTGTCTGGCACCAGGGAAACTCCAGACCACTCTCTTTTTCCACAATGGACATCCCCAGTACAGTCATCCAACATCTGGCTTTTATTGTTAAAGCCAGACTCTGCCCGACAGCTCATTGATCACATCTAGGCTTTGCCCATCCTGATGTCACGCACCCCTGGGACTCATCATTGGCCCAGGTAATCTATTGTTCTCACCTGAGACCAGCCCCCAAGACCTTCCATTGGTCTGCATTGTTTTCCAGTGCCTATATTCGTCAGCACATAGCCTCAGACTGTGTGCCTCTGCCTTGATGCCAACTGGCAGACCACCCCTAAACCTCTGGGCCATAAACTCATCTCCATGGACCTCTGCACATCTGGACAGGTAGTATCACCCATAACTGCCCCCCTCTATCAGCTATCAATCACCTCTGCTTTCTTAGTTCTGTATTGTGTGTGTGAATGTTTGAATATTGTTTGTATGCTTGAGAATATTTAGTAAAGAAATAATTATTTTAGCTACCCAGTCTCTGTGTCTGTTCTTGGGTTCTTGGGAATTCTAACTCCAGTATACACAGGTCTGATCCTATAGTTATGCCAGCTGCTCATCAATATCATAATTCTCCAATCTATTATTAAGAAATAGAGCAATTTGTCTAACAAATATCATCTAGAGGCGAGATGATTCCTTCCCAGTTGGATGTATAGTAATCTAACCATGGCTAATTTACTGCTATTGTTGTTGGCTGATGCTATTCCAGATGTTACTCTTAAGGTGGCTTTTATTTTTCTGTCATCAAATATAAGGAAGAAATTAATTTCAGCTGCTCCTACAAGAATTTTAGCCAAACTATAACTATTTCATAGAGGGTATTTTAGCGGTCTTATCTTCTGCCCTCGCCTACCACAGCATTCCTGAGGGGAGGGAGAGTGTATCTGTAGGAGTAGACCGCTTGCTGCTGTAACTCTTCTAGGGAGCCCCAACGAGACATCGTTTCACACGGGAAGATGTCCTTGGAGAAAGTTCTTTGATTAGTTAGAGGAGGACCCTAATTTCTATGGTCCGGGTAGATTGCTAACGTGTATGAATGGAATGTGTGATTGTAACTATATGCACCTTTCCCATCTTCCCACCTCAGTTCTGACAAAAGAAGTCATTCCCTAAACATCTCATATCTTCTAATAAAACTTTCAATGAAGAAAGTGTGTGTGGAGAGTGATTTGACTGGGACTCTGACACACACAAAACACACACAAAAATTTTTAAAGGGGAACTTTCTCAGAATTGGATCAGATCCTTGTTCACTGAGCCATTGCTTGAAACCCACGGACCAGCCCTTTGCCTTGTTCTCTCTCTTCCCTACATGATCAGTCACTGCCCTACACAAACCTTCTCTTCCTACCAACAAACTTTGTGCAAAAATAACATATCAGCTTCTGTATGATGCTCACACCCAGTACCCAGTACCCAGTACCATGCTCAATTCGTATCTTGCTTCCTTGCTTCAACTGTAATTCTCGTTGCTCCTACACTCTACCGCACTCTTGTCTTCCGTTCATATCATGTTACCCAATCTTTTTAAACAGAGATAACAGGGATTGAATCTGTGACTTTTGATCACGAGTCGGCAAGAGGAAGGAGGAGGGCGGGCAAAGGTGGCCCCCACCCATGGGGGACATTCGACCCACGGGTAGAAGAGTCGTGTTCTGCATGCAAAGCAGATTCTCTTCCATGGAGCCATGGCCCCATGCCAAACCTTGCTTTATCTGTTTGTATTGCTTTCCTGGAACTTGGCTTAGTGCCTGTCCCTGTCCTGTCCCATCTCTCTTAGTGGGGAGATCCACCCAGGCGATGTCTGCCCTGTTTCCTGATATCCCCCCCCTGCTTCCCCAAAGGCCTGACCCTGTTACAAGAGTAGCCATGCTCCTCCATGGCAGAATCAGGAGGGGAAAACCCTTGATATCTAATACAGCATTTCTGGAGTAATGCAATCACTGACTGTAAGCATAATCCTATAAAATATACAAAACTAACAAAAATTATTACATTTATTTTAATTCTTATTTATTTTAATATAGTAATTGCCAAAAGTAGAAACAAAAGACTGTAGTCCTTCAGAAAGCTCTTGAAAATTCATTTTGATGTGCTAAAAACATTTCAGATTAATGCATCCATCTTGAGTACTAACGGCACTCAAGTACTAATAGGTTTGTCCTATTCTGTCCAGAAGCCTAATGCTACTCAGTGTGAAAATCCCATGCCATTGTCCGCTTCACTTCCCTGATTGCAAAAGTTAAACCCCCCCAAGTTGGTTTACACAGCTTTATATTATACAGCTGATGTATCTGACCAAATAATAGATGAGACCTTCCCACATCATCAGGATTTGAACATTATACCCGTGTTTATTTTTGATAAACCCTTGTTCTGTGATAACCTTGATATTTTATAAAAGCAAGGAAAGAGTTCTCAAATGGTCTAGGATTGTCAGGTTTCAGCTCAGAGGTCCTGCCTGTCCCATTAAAAGATCTAGGCAGGATGGCAGGAAGCAAGCACTATACTCCCCGCCCCGCCCTTCTACAGGTTCTTTCTCCCACTTTCTCCATTGCAGTAACAACAAGAAATCTGGTTTGTCCCACAGCAGGTGTAAGTGCAGAATGGGTGAAAGAAGTCTGTGGAAGAACAGCAAAGGAAGCACCTCAGCTGCATCCTCTCTTTCCACTTCTTACTGAGCCAGGCAAAAACTCCAGGTTGACACCTGGCTGTCCTACCACCCTGCCACCTTCTTTTGCTCCTTAGAGACATCATGATGGAGATGTCTGGAAGGAACAGATGTGACAGACTGCACTTTAAAAGAGGTATGTAAACATGTGAAGGGTTAATGCCTCACAGAGACGGAGAAACTTTGAGTTACAAGCTGCTCAAAGGGATTTTATTGGAAGGGAAGGTCTCATCTGATAGTGGCCCATTCTGCATCTAGCACTCACTCACCTGTTTTACCAAAAATCCACATTGGAACAGAAATTCCCCTCTACACTGCATGCCACTTTCACTTTGAATGATTGTCGGATTTTATGGCAGCGTCCAGACTGCATGCTGCTTTCACTTTGTTTGACCTCTTGGTTTTATGGCGGCCCGTCTGCATAGATTTATGGCTTTTTTATGGCCATTCAGGGATGATTCTACAGTCAGTATGGCATTTGCCCCGGGGTATTTGAATGTGGTTTTGAGCTGCATCTTTTTCTGTTCCAGTGTGGGTTTGGTAAAACAATAGAGCGAATGCTAGATGCAGAATGGGCCAATATAAAGCTGTGTAAACCGACATGGGGGTATTTAACTTTTGCATTCAGTTGAGAAGAAAGAGTTGGAAACTGACTGCAGTTTAGCACTGACTAATGACAGGGAAGGTTGGCAAGGAGGAGTGGGAGGATCAGTGAGGCCATTTGGGCCAGGATAGATCTTCTAGTTAGAGAAGAAATTCCCTGCCCAGTTGAAAGGGAGATAGCGCTAAAGAGTGGAATGATACCAAGCGTGCACAGAGAAAGAATTTGGGTGCTTGGTAGTGTATCCCTGCCTTCTGAAACAAGAATCATCAGTTAAACTCAATAAAGTATACTGGAGTATTTAGGAAACATTGAAACAAAGGCCTCTCATCTTGAAAATTCTGTGTGAAAACTTTAAAACTCTCAATTGCTGGAAACATATGAACTGTAGTTTGTGAAAACATTGTTACCTCAGAGTTCTTATTGATTTACCTCAGACATTATATCCCCAATTTCACCTGACCTTTCCCCCTCTACATTGAATAAAATATTTTGTTTATTTTTGAATGTTATAAAGCCTCTCTTGTGCCATTTCATAAGTTTAAGTTACAAGGGTGATCTTGTCTCTTCTCTGAAGTTCCTGGGCTAAGCCAGCATAAAAATACAATAACATGACAGGCTGGGAGAGCCACAGATCTTCAGGAAAGAAGAAAATAGATAAAGGGACTGCTCAGTCAGAAAAGAAGAAGAAAACAGAGGGAAAATACTGCATCTCAGGGAGGGAAGAGGGCAGGCTGTCATAACAGGCTCTTCACTGCTCTACTGAGTATCTTGAGAAGGTCCAGCTTAAGAAAAATGCATCCTAGAAATCTGACACTAAAGAGTACTGCCATCTCTGAAAACTGCCACAAAAATGTGTTTGTTTATTTATTGAGTGTATGAAAGGAAATGTTAATGAAAGCGAAACTGTTCACACTTTCAGGCTTTGCAGTACACATCATACTTCAGTTTTGCTTCCAGCTTTGTTCCTGCTAAACACTCCTTGAATTTTGCATCCATTTTCTGGTTTTGTGTTTCATTGAAAAGGGTCTTCCAATCACCTACTACACCTAGAACGAAAACAAAATGCAGAGGGGGGCAAGGGAAGGGGAACATTTGACTATAAAGGTAGATTGATAATCGAGCAATGCAATAGCTTCGTCACTTTAAGATAACTGGGCACAAAAAAGGTACAGCTTGCTTGAACTGGGAGGTAAGGAAGAATCTGAACATAGCAAGAAACTCACAAGGTCTCTTCACTACCAGATCCTAGATCTTGCTTGCAATATTTCTTGAGTTGTAATTAGGGTTGCCAAGTATTATTTTCGCCGCAGTGGGGGACTCCCGGCTGGTGGCTGGAGAGAGCACATGCCCGCAAAGCACGCACACGCCACATCCACGTCACTCGGAATGACGCGGGCACGCCGGGCACGCTGGGGGCGGGGCCACGACCATCCGAGGGAAAACCATAGAGTTTTCCCTCGGATGACCGTGGCCCCGCCTCCAGCATGCCCGACGTGCCCGCGTCACTTCCGGGTGACATGCACATCGGGGTGGAGTTCCCCCCGGGGTCCGATCCGCCAGCGGCGGGGAACGGGCCTCTGGGGCGGAGGTTTCCCCGCCCCCCGGGGGGACTTGGCAAGCCTTGTTGTAATACCACCAAAGTGCAACTGATAGAGAAAACCTGGCTTTGTAAGCATGTGTACATGCACATATGCATGGAAGTAAGTAGGCAGAGATAGAGAAAATTTCAAGGCCTAATGGCTTTGTTCAGAGGTATCACTTCCTCTAGACATATGAAGCTGTCTTATACTGAATCAGAGCACTGGCCCATCAAGGTCAGTCCTCAGACTGGCAGTGGGTCTCCGGGGTTTCAGGTGGAGGTCTTTCATGTCACCTGTTACCTAGATGCAAAGGACTGAACCTGGGAACTTCTACATGCAAAGCAGATTCTCTACCACTGAGCCATGGCCCCTACCCAAAGTACAGTTTGGTGCCTTATAGATGAGCCTTGAAGGAGATTCATGCTCACTCTCACAACCTCCTGCCCCCTTCATATGCTACAAGAAAATCAGTATTTCATTGATTTCAACAAATCTCAGGTGGTCATTACAGCGATCCTTTGTCCCATAAGCCAGGATTGTTGATTTCCATTTTGCAATTTTGATGTGCCGGGCAATTACAAACCAGAAGTCATTTCGGGGGGGAACGCGGGGGAACGCAGTTCCTCCGGGTGAGGTACCGGGGGGGCGGGGCACATGACAAAGCTCCGCCCCCTGCTTCCGGCCGCCCCGCTTCCGGCCCTCATTCAGCCAGGAGGAGGCAGGAGAAGAGGGAGGGTAAGTTGCTTCCTCCCTGCCTCTCCCCACCCCTGCCTGCCTGGGGCCAGGGAGGGCCTTCGCGGTGCTTCCTTGCACTCCTGCCGGCCTTGCAGGTCCACCGCCGGGCCCCTGATGTCAAGGGGTGTGGCATATGCTAATGAGTTATGCTAATGAGTTCCCCTAGCTCTTTTTCTACGAAATGACCCGTTACAAACCATCATTTACCAGTTCAGATTTAACAGCAAACGACAGTTCACCAAAATACTAGGAAGTACAATTTGTTGTTGCTGCTGTTTCACTAGGAAGTAACTAATCAGTTTGTGGTGGAGGAAGGGAAGAGTGAGGGTAGAAATGATCATATCTATGAGTCTGTGGCTCCTTCCAAAGTTGTCGACACAGCACCAAACCAATGACTGACATTACATATGTACCAGGCTGTAGCATTCCATTCCATTGGATAACTTGGTAATTGAGGGCCAGTTTACAATTTGCTTACCCATAAGAGCTGCTGTAGAAATTCTGAGGAGGGATATCCTCCATATTGTCTCATCTTTTCTTTTAAAAGCATTAAATTAATTACAACTGATGAAAACACAGAACAGGTAATGTGTTGGCTGTAAAATATATCTTGAGAGATAAATGACAGGAATACCCTTTTTGCAGATGGACAAAAACTGACAAAAAGCATTTTTAATCAAGATAGGATATATACAGGGGTCATTTCCTGCAGGAGCGCACAGGAGTGGAGCTCCGGCAGTAAAGAGCCCAGGGGGCAGGCACATGCAACAAGCCCCGCCCTCTGCTCCCAGCAGCTCTGGGCCACGAGGAGCAAGAAACAGCCAGGTAAGTTGCAGAGCCTACCCCCCCCCGCCGCCCGTGCTGAGGCGCAGAGCCCGGGGAAGGCCTCTGGAGCCCCACTGCCCGCCTTTCCCGGCACCTGCGGGATGGTGGCGGCAGCGAGGGCTTGATTGAGGGGTGAGCCATGGGGGATCTTCAAGAGCAGATCTGCGCGTGTCCCCCCCCCCCCAAAGCAAGCATCCCAAAAAGGTCCGGACAATCATAAGAAAATGGAAGACTCCTCATCATTTGATGCTACAAATCATACAGGGACAACAGTATTACTAACTGCCTTCTTTTTAAAAAAAGTGTACCTTTCCGGAAGAGAAGTGGACCAGCTGCACCATGTGTCTCCTTTGATCTCTCCCTCACCACTTGGAAGGAAGCCCTATCTGCAATAGACTGACTTTGCTCCATGGTAGAAGCAAAACCAAAAAACTCAGCAATCTGCTTCACTCCATTAAGCAAGTCCTGAAAGCAATATAGTGGCACACTTATTTATTTTACTTAGAACATTTTTATGCTGCCTTTCCATCCTATCAGGGTCCACAAGGCAGCAAACATAAAAAACATTAAAACATTTGAACAATGCAGATACAATTAAAATATAAAATTCAATTAAAAACACATGTCAAGGTAGCAAGCGTAGTTCATTTCCCATTGTAAGCTAGGCTAGTAGACCGTGTCCCAGTACTGGATTCAGGGCACAAAGTTGTGCTCAGTGCAGATCTGCCCTACTTTGGCCTAATCTTGTTAGAGTCACTAAGGACATCTCTTTATACATAATGTCTAACGACATGATTTTGGGGTGCAGGTCCACTAAGGACTGTTAATCACGGGTGCCCATACAAAGTCCCCACTGGGAATTCAATTACCTAGTGTGCAGGCTCCATTTGGGTTGAGGATGCAGTACATTGAGAGAAGGGGCTTATGCCTTCCATCTGTATAATTTTCAAGACAGAAAGTAAACCCTAGGGGGAGTGCTATTTACCCGGTTGAGGAAACTTTCATGTGCCCCATCAGGATACATGGAGCCCTCAACTGGGCAAATAGTAGTCCCCACTTGACCATTTCAGGTTGGGGAAATGGCACAGGGGGACACTGAAGCCTGTTCTCCCTAAGCACTGGGATCCCTAATCTGGCATACCTGGGAACTGAGTTCCCAGCAGAGGGCTCACAGGTACAAGTAGGCCCAGAAATACATACTGATTATATGGTATATAATACATACAACTGTACTGCAGCTATATGAAGACTGAAAAACCCGGACTGAAAAAGAGATGCATGAGGACTGTAGGAATCAGAGGGGCATGGGATGTACCACTGTTCCCCCTTGACCCAAACACTAAGGGCAGACCAACGTATTCGGTCTGCAAACTTATTTGATTCTTGCCGTTAATATGAATTTTGCGGGGAGTCCTTGCAATAAAATGGCAGTCACAGTTGCGGCACAACAAAAAGAAGGTTGTCAGACCTCTATAACTCTCTATAACTGGGCTTGCACTTCTTGCTTTTTAAAAAAAATTCTAGTTTGTCATACTAATCACAGATTTATTTTTTTGCTGTCACAACACTGCCAAAAAACATTTTCTATTATGGTATCCCACTTATGGAACACACACACACACCATTTTTCCTGGAAGCTATTCTGCCAAGTTTTAGGAGCTAAATTAAATTATTTTACTTACCCCAGATTTTAGTGAACAATTCTTTTTGTGGTTTTCATTGTAGATATTACTATTTTGCAGGCGTGTTTTTACTGGCTATAGCATATTTTGATATTTTATTGCCATATCTATATATCTAATTCCCAAGGGGCCCCCTGCGTGCGGATATCTAAATCCGCACATCGGGGGCACCTGGGGGGCAGGGAGATTTTCCTGCGCGCGTGGGGCAATGCCCAGGTGTGCAGAAAAATCTGAAAACTGTAAAAAAATATAGGGGGGATAATTAAATCCCAAAAAAATAAAAGAGCATCCCCTGCGCATGCGCAGGGGATGTTCTTAGCACGGCTTCACCGCCGCCGCCACCAGAGAGGGGGAGGGGTGGGAGAGAAGCCTTGGCCGGCTGGCGGCTGTAAGCCGCTCAGCCCTCGCCCTCGCCACCTGGGGGGAGGGAGAAAGTTTGGCGGGCCGGGGAGGGGAGAAAGTTCAGTGGGCCAATGAGGCCTCACCGCTGCCACCGCTGAGGGGGAGGGAGAAAGTTTGGCAGGCCAGCAAGGCCTCGCCACCACTGGGGGGGGGAGGGAGAAAGTTCGGTGGGCCAGCAAGGCCTCGCTGCCGCTGCCGCCGCTAGGGGAGGGGGGAAGCTTGGAGGGGCGCGGTCCTTGCCGTGGGTGTCAGGGATGGGGGGGTCAGGGGAGAAGGCTCACCTGTGGCTACTTCCTTCTCCCGTGGAGCTTCTCCTCCCCCCAGCGAGTATCACGGGTCCCCCTTCTTGTGATCTTCTATTGTTTCATTAGAAGCCCCCTTTAAAATTATTTTAACTGAAAAGATGAGAAAAGTGTGTATATTCGATCAATCAAATTAGGTGAGCCCTGACTCAAGTTAAGCTCTGAATTCTGACCTACCTACTTCCTTTTACAAAATCCCTGTGAGTGCAGGTCAGGCCCTTTACCATTAGAAAGTAAGATAACCCTTGCTAGTAACTATGAATAAGCCCACCTCTTTTAAGTCTTCATATGTCAGCAGCAGAACATTGTCGTCATCTATGTGTTTGTTCCAGGAGACTGCATGGTCAAAATAAGATCCCCAGGCAACTGCAGATCAAAGACAGTGTATCAAAATTACCTTATGACTACTGGAAGGTGCCACAACCTTAACAGGAGGCTATTCCTAAAAATGTTTTGTTGTGTGGGCACTCTGTTCTTTCATAGCCCACAGGAGTCACAGACACTCAGAAGGAAAGTAAGCAGGTGATTATTCTCAAGGAGAATCACTAAATGCAATCCTAGGCAGGGTTACTCCAGTCTAAACCCATCATTTCAAAGGACTCAGACTGGAGTAACTCTGTCCAAGATTGCACTGTAGGAGTCTCGCTAGTTTTCTTCCGCTTGTGATGTGAGGTCAGCTTTTGAAGAAAACATTCTGGACATTCGCAGTTCAACTTGGTTGGAGATAGATAATAGATTTTTCAGAGTACTGAAGGTGGTACAATAAAGTCATCATTGCTCATGGTGTGTACTCTCATCCCACCGTTTCTCTGGTAAACAGGTTTTGCAGGGCTTTATATTGGTTCAAAAATCCAAATCTAACAATGTAACAAAAGGAATATCAGACACAGCAATACCTCTAATATAGCATTTTCAACTGTCTTCAAACCTATAACCTTTCCCAGCTAGATTTACCAATCAAGGCACCATGGCTGAAGGGATACGGATGCCTCCCCTTCAGAATGCACCCCCCACGGCAAGGAAAATCATAGCTACTACATAATCCAACTCTTCCCCTGCTAGCGGGAGCAAATCTCAGATCAGATTGGCAATGTTATAATTCAGTTATCCTACTAAATATTTTCCCTGAGGTGTTTCAATGCCCAAATCCATACAAGAGTAGCAAATAATACCTGATCCATTCATAAATTCTGAAAAGAACTCCTCCCAAGAGTTATAACTTGGAACACTTGGAGCATTGTTATGAAAGTGGAAAAACGATGCAGCTGTATCTTTAGGATTTCGAAACACCACCAGTATCTGGAATGAGATAAACAGGAAAACAATTTTTAACTCGTCTGATCATGACCACCATCTCACAGTCCACTACAGGTGTCTTATAGTATGTCAGCTACAACTAGAAACAATTGATTCTTGTGTCAAAGAAGAAGCAGGTTGAAATGGTAGCCATGGTTAAGTCCATGGAACTCCTCAAAAGCAAAAACTTGGACACCATCACCTTTTTGGTTTTGCCTCCCTGGAAAACAGGGAGCAGATGAGCAGACATTAGTAGATATTTCACATACAGAATTTGTTGTTATCTTGTAGCCACCAAGGCTCTGTTAGTCTCACAGGATGCCCTGGCTACATTCTTTGGACAGCAATTAGAGATATTTTGTACACACACAGGAAAATGCTGATCACCACTTTGGGGTTAGGAAGCAATTTTTCTCCAGGCCAGTTTGGCTGGAAATCCTGGAAGTTTTTCTCATAGTCTGGGCATGGAGCAGGGCTCACTTGGGGTGTGGGGAGGGAGGTATTTGTGAATTTCAAGCATTGTGCAGGGGGGCTGGACTAGATGACCCTGGAGGTCCCTTCCAACTCTATGATTCTGTGATGGCCAGCATAGTGTAGCTGTCAGAGAGCTGAGATTACAACACAAGAGACAGACATAATCTCTCAGCCTAACCTACTTCACAAAGTTGTTGTGGGGATAAACTGGAGAATAAAAGAGTATGTTTCCTTGAACTCCTTGGAAGGATTATGGGATTTAAAAAGAGATAGAATGCTACATATTGTGCCATGGCATGGTAGTTAGATGCCAGACTAGAAGCCAGGAGACCCAGGTTCAGATCCCCACTCTTGCCACAAAAGCTTTGGGCCAATTATACCCTCTTAACCTAACCTACCTCATAGGGTTGTTGTGAGGATAAAATGAAGAAAAAGTCAATATTGTAAGCCACTTTGGGTCCCCATTGGGGAGAAAAATGGAGTCTAAATAAAATAAATAAGCATGCATCTGTATCCTATGTGCCAAAAAAAGAAATCATTTTGCATTATAATACCTCTCAGAAGATGCCACAGGGAGTTCCTGCTGGACATGTGCACTTTGCAGCACTTACTCCTATGAAGAAATGCATGCGTTTCCCCTCTGAATGTGACTGATTCAATTCACATCTTAAAGTTCCCCTGCCATTTAACCATTTGTATTTCCACTAACAGCCACTGCCAGAAACATGACAAGATACTCCCACGGCTCCCATGCACTATGTGTGCGGCTCCCAAATGGGTGAAAGTAACTTGAATTTCTTGCAGTACTTTCTGTCTCAGAGGGTTCAAGGAAGAAAGTGGGAAGTATCAATTCAGCCATTTTCATACTGTTACTCCATACCACACCAATTCCATTCACCACTGTCCCCAAGGTATGAATCGATGCTGTAAATATCTCCTGATAAATTCTGTAAATGAGCGTTGTCAGTCACTTACCTTGGCTTTATTTTTGAAGATAGACTTAGGAAGATGGTTGTAATTGAGGTGTGTGGCCACAATCCTTGGAGATGGGAACTGTTTCATCCTCTTTTTAAAAACAGAAATGTAATATAGTTGTACATACATAACAGTAATTTGCTTTGTGTTCACATATCATATTCATATACTAATCCAAAGGCATTTGGAATAAGTAAGATTCTCTTGAAAAAACTTGGTGACCCACCAAGCTGAATGTGAGTATCCCAGCTTGCAGGTGCTTAATAGCCACCCTGTATCTATAATCCAAGACAGACCACCAAGCCAGGGTAGTTTGTGAGGCCTTAGTGGGCTGCAATAAAGGAATGGTCAAATACTTTGACTTGGTAGGTCACAAGTCAGGTGGACCTGCTCCAGAAATACTGGCTGCCAGTGCTGCTGTCTTTCATCTGACCTGGAGGGGTCGAGGATTCTGCAACATACTGACCTGAAACTTTTCAGGATCTCCACATTCAATGAAAGGCAGTTCTGCATTCTCATGTTTAGTTTGCAAAGTTGTGACAATCAGATCATTCACAATTTGAATCAGCCAATTAATACCTAGAACAAAAAAGAATTTAAAATAACAGTAGGATTTAAAAATCACATGCTTCTTGGGCAAAGTAAATTGTACCTGGATATGTTGGAACACAAATGCTGCCAAGCTACACCAGAGCCTTTCAGTTCAATAGGTTTACCATAGGCTGTGCTGAGAACTTGAGTATTAACTAGAACGCGGACAGGGCTGGTTAATGTAGATAGGAGTTTAAGCACACAGATTCTTTCAGTTGTTGGAAGCTGAATTAGATGGTTCAGAAAGGACTGCTCCACAAATGTAATGGGGATGTCTGCACTGGGCAGTTTCAAATTTACAGCAATGGGGAAACCTTGGTTGCCACAGAAACTCTATGTACATTTCACAACACTTAAGGAAGTGACAGACCAGATTATTTATCTTATAATTCAAAGCAACTTATTTTAAAACATTACAAAAAATAGCTTAAATGACAAATAAACATTGCCACTTTCTCAGTGGTGGAAGTGAGCAAAGAGGAGCTGGTGTGGAGTACAAGCACAAACTGTGGAAAGAAAGAAATATGGTCACACACCCCAGTGATTTTGTCCTGGAATGGTAGGCCAGGTTGTTGGGCCAAGAGATGTTAAGGCCTTTATGGAAATTCAGGAAGCCAGCTCCTTAACTGTAAATTATTAGAAGGCACATTATGCATGCTCAGACTTTTTTTTTTTAATTACACTGTACCTTTTCCTATCTTTTTTTTTTTCTTTAAAGAAGGGTCACAGGAGTGTGATATTGAAGGGATGGGGCTATAGCACCAAAACCAAGGATACCTGCAGAAGAATTTTTCTCCTTATTCTGCTGCACTTAATAATGTTTATGCTTGCCCATATTTCAGAAATAAATCATGTTAGTTCTGAACCATTCATAACAATTGATTGAAATTTCAATTTAAATATCTGGCATCTCTAAAGGATTTTTTAACTTATGAATTTTACATTGGCAGGATCTCTTACCCTAGTATATATTAAATTTTTAAGTTGGTCTTTTATGATCAGGTAGTTACTTGTAATACTGAACACTCTACTGTCACTTCAAGATAGGCAATGTTTAAATTATTATTAATAGTATTATTTGTATAGGCAGATTCCAGTCATGAAGAGGCTGAAGAAATCATTTGAAGACAAAGATATCAGTACAACATGCAATCATATTGTTTCTGTACATGAGTCCAAACTGAATTTGAAAGTGTGTTAAAACTATGTAATGCATTTTTATTTGTGCCAACTTTTTTTTCCTGCCAGCTTCACTGCACAAACTTCCTTAACACACTTTTATTTAAACTGTTACATGGGACATTATTACCAAGACAGTTTTCTATTGCCATGGGACACTTCACAGCCTAATGAGGATACACATTGATAGCACTTTTAAATGATCATATAACATTTCATACCCTATTAAAACGATTTACCACAGATCACTGCTTGATCTTTTCAATACTTTTTCCACTGCTGGGTTAAATTAATGTTAAGAAGAAGAGATTGGATTTATACCCCCCCCTTCACTACCCAAAGGAGTCTCAGGCCCCGGTCACACGGGAGGCTTTGATCCATGAGAGGGACAGGTCGGGGGGAGCAAGTGGACGCGATCACACCACAACATCTGGGAAGCGACGCGCACCCGTCCCTGATCCACGGCATCTGATCGTGCCGGGGAGCAACTGTGCAGCGGCTCAGGGGATCTGTCTGATCCCGCCGCCGCGCGTCTCTTTTGATGTGGCTCAAAAAAGCTGCACTTCAGCCCCACCTTTCCCCCTCAGAGCGGCCTACAAACTCCTTTCCCTTCCCCTCCCCCCAACAGACTCCCTGTGAGGTAGGTGGGGCTGAGAGAGCTCTAAAAGAAACTGCTCTTTTTCAAGGACAGCTCTTATCAGAACTATGGCTTGCCCAAGGTCATCCAGCCAGGTGCAAGTGGAGGAGTGGGGAATCAAACCCGGTTCTCCCAGATTAGAGTCCGTGCACTTAACCACTACACCAAACTAGTAACCATGGCTGTAGAGGTGGTCTAGAACAGAGGGTTTGGGTTTCAACTGAATCAGAAAGGCGTTATACCTTTGTAAGCCATTTAAACTGCTATAATTGACAGTTTAAATGTCATACAATTTCAGCAGTCCTATTTAACATCTTCACTTATTTAACATTAAACGTGACACTTTGCTCCTCCCCCCCCCCTCCCAATCACATCATTGCTGTATGATTCCAGGAAATAACTTAAGGTCGTATTCACCACATTTGGGATAAGACACCAGCACCAAATCATCATTTCTGGCTTCAAAATTCTCCAGGGCTTGGAATGTTTCTGCGCTGCATACAGTAACGGGATAGAGAGTCCCCTGGTAGCAAAACAGAAGCTCCTTGAGGTTAAGGCCTTTGGATTTTTCCAAGGCTTTTTCTATTTCTTCTGTAAACGTTTTCTCAGTCATGCTTGCTTCTTCTGTTGTGAGATACTGCAGTTCTGTTAGGATAACAAATGCCTTTAAAAGGGTATTTTGATGGGCGGAGTAATCAATCTTAGTACCAGGCTTTTGTATTTAATTCCTTTTACAATCAAGCCAGACAGATCAACTTCCTTATCTCCTCCCTTTCTATTCTCCTATAGAGAAAACTGAGCCACTTCTCTGACTCTAAGAACTGAAAAGAGGGTTTATGCTTTGCAAGCAATCCACATTAAAGTCAGGTAACGTTGCCATGATGATTTGAAAAGTCAAACAGATACAAAAAAGAAATTGCTTGGTTGACATAGCAAACAATATATTATATTCAGAGTTACATAATTTTAAAAGGAGGAAGTTTCTCATGGAGTAATCAGTGGCTTCATAATAACAGGCTTTGGTTTAATACTGCATGTTTAATGCTCCTTTCCATCTCAAGATTACCTTGTATTCCTGCAAAGGAAAACACTACCTGTGTTTCAGCAGGAAAAACAAAAGAGTAAATTTGAAAAAGGTGCAGTAGTAAAAGCCATATCGGATTCTTCCTGCCAGTAACTTTGTGGGAGGCTGTTCTTATAGTCATCCCAGCAGCCACTGATGTAGCTAAAACCACCCACTCTAGATTGTCCACCTAAGGCTCCATCATTCTGGATTTGCACACAAGAAATCGCTTTGCTGGATTACAGCAAGCACCTTTTTGTCAAATGCCGTTTCCAGTGGTCATTTATGTGCTACGAGAAGATCACACGCCTGTCCCTTTGTGTCTCTAGCATCAAGCAGTGAAGTGGTACACACTGCTTCTAATCGCGGAGTCTTTTATATACGCTTTTCTCTTGAGGTTTGTGGTTTGCAGAGAGGACGCTAACCCTGAAATGATCACTAACACTGGTATTACTTTCTATCAGACTTTAAGCAAAAGGCGGTGATGATGTTGCATCATGGTGAAAAGGTGTGAGCCCTTTAGGGTACATCGGTCCCAGAGTATAACCGACACAGACATTTAGCTGACATGCCTACTGCACGTCAGAGGAAGAGATGAGGCGAGCAACTGCACTCCGGCGCCCCTAAAGGGTGCTGCGCTTGCTCAGACACTTTGCCATGCTTGGCGCAGGCGCCGCTCTCGCTCAACCTCTGAAAAGGAGGCGGAGAGAACAATACTGCGCCAAGGGCTTTGAGATTGGTGGTGCGCACGTGATCCCAGCTGTAAAGGCCGCGTGGGCATTTGGAACATGGGAGAGTGGTTAAGGTACGTCGTGGTCTCAGCAGTTGCTGCGTGCTAAAGGACTCAGCGTTGCCTCACGGCCGGGTGAAACAATAGGCATGAGGCGCGGCTTCCATGACGTTTCGCTTCCGGGTCGTCTCCGATAAAGCCGAGCCCAGGGGATGAGGCTGACTGAGAGAGAGTAAGCAACTAGCATTTTAAGGAAGGATGGACTGTTAAGCCGTGTATCTTTAGCTGGACAGAGACTCCCTTGTTTGCTACGGAAAATGGGGTAGAGCTCCGCTTTGGAGATCAAGCCGCTCTTAAACCGAAGTTATTTCCGTACAGGAAATTGCAGGGAATCTCAGGCTCTCGTGTGATTTCAATGCATACTTGTCTCGTCCATGGATATGTACAGCAAAATAGACCCGGGTTCATTCCATGCAGTTTTCGTCACAGAAATGACTTCATTTCCTATCAGTTATACCACCACTTTATTCTGGAGTCAATAATAATATACATGCGTGAATTAATCTTATATAACCAGCACCGCCCTGACCTGTCTGTCTCGGGCTAGTTTGATCTAGTCACATCTCTGAAGCTAAGCAGGGTGGGCCCTGGTTGGTATTTGGATGGACCACCATAGAAGTCCAGGCTTACTATGCAGCGGCAGGCAATGGCAAACCATCTTTGAACTTCTCTTGCTTTGAAAATCCCTGAGGGGTCGCCATAAGTTGGATGTGACTTGGCAAATTTACACTCCGTCACAACTAGTGTAACATCTAACATACCGCATAATGGCCCCTAAGCAGACTCAAGCTTTGCCATGTCCCTTGGGGGGTAAATTTAGGTGAGCAATATGTATTTGTATTACACCTTAGAGGATTCATGTTATTTAGCAAGATACCAGTAGTTTTTATAACAACTCTGTAAGATAGTTCATTATCATCCTGAAATTCCAGGGGTGAAGTGGAAATCTGTGTGTGAAGATCAAATTTTGAGTCCAGTGGCACCTTTAAGACCAACAAAAGTTTATTCAAGGTATGAGCTTCCGTGTGCACGCACACTTCCTCAGATAAAAGATGTGTGTAGTAGAGATGAATGAAATCTTTAGCTGACACAAGAATTGAACAGAGGATTTCCAGTTCAATCTCTGCATTGTTCCCCCAGCAGCATGTTGTGAAACAATGTGTATTGTGCTGGTGTTGCATAAAGGGCCATAGGCATTCAATATTGTAAGGAAAGAATTGGCGCTTCTAAGTGGGTTAAGAGGTAGGGACACTTAGAGCCAAATAACTTTGCTAAGTCAATTGTACGGGAAGGAAGCTTCACTGCCTTCTCGACTCTCCCCCGTCCCAATATTATCAGTACAACTTTAACATATGCTGCACCATCCACACAGTCAAAAGACAATACATAGACAGCATTTATGTCCAAGTATGAGTTCTCTTGACAGAACAAAATGAAAGCAAAATGTATCTTGTGGCACTGTGAAACCTCAACCAGTAAGTTTGGGCAGTTGATCTACAAGCACTGGTTTCAGCAGGTTCTTCCCCATGTGTGCCTTTCCTCTGCATTTTCACAGCTGTAGAGTCCACACATGCCTTCACTAATGAGGGTTTTCAAGGTAGGGTGGTGGTGTCATTGGTATCAGCACACAGACTTTTCTAAAAACAGCACTAAAATGTTTAAACGTTGCTAGAGTTGGAACAGTAGGCTTAAGCAGGTTCTCTGAATCTACAGCTTTCATTGAAAAAAGTCTCTATGCTGGAGATATCAGGAAAAGGACATATCTCCATGAGGGTGGGGGATAGAGACTTTTTTTCTTTAAATGAAAGCCAGAAATTCAGAGAACCTGCTAAACCTATTTTTCCATTCAGTAAGACTTGATTTAGATCATGGTCTTCTACATAAAGGCTCATTCTTTCTGGTCTTAATATTTACAACTCAGATAAAGGTTTCATTTTAGTATCATAACTTTTCAGGTTAGTTTTAGTTATATCAGAAAATTAATGATTGGTTATTTACCACTTGAAATAGATAATTATGATAATTATGAAACTATTGCAAGGAGAAAAATAATCATTAACAATAACCATTTAATTATTTTTTTAACTAAAACGTTATATAGCATATGTATTCTCGTATTTGCTTAAACTTCCATGAGGATACACTCACAAAGATCTCCGCATTCAATACTGTAAGGAAAGAATTGGGTTAAGAGGTATGGACACTATGTTGTTGTTGTTCCGCCGTCCTCTGAAGATCTCAAGATTTCTAGAGTATTGTGCTCAAGAGTTTCACTTTCATTTTTACTGCTAGCCTCCCCCTCCTCTGCTTAGCTCTTAACATCTCCTCCTTGTCCAGACCTATTCCACCCCGAAACAATCTTACATTCATTGAACTTCTCGAAACTTAGTACTTAAGAGAAAAGGGGGTGATTCTTTATGTATAGATTTGCAGAGGACTGATAGGACTGAGGTCTGTTAACTCCATATGTTTATTTTATAACATTTTTGCTGTGAAGGAGAGGCATGTGATCTCTGCAGTAGGGTTGCCATTCCCCAGACAGGGGCAGGGGTTTACCCGCTTTTGGGGGCCCCGATCTGCAGCCCCCAAGCCAGCCAATGGGGGAACCCCACCCCCAAAGAGCCCCGTCTGCACCAACGTGCCCGGCATAATGACATCACCTAGAGGTGACGTCATCACACAGGATACGTTGCAGGGGGACACTGTCAATTGAGGAAAAACTCTATGGTTATTATAGAGTTTTCCCTCAAACAATAGAGCTTCCCCCTGCATGATGACATCACTTCTGGGTGATGTCATCGTGGTGTGCACACTTTGCGCGTATGCCAAAAACTCCAGGGGACTAAGAGGGAGCCCCCCCACTCGACAGCCAGGTAAGACTTGGCAACCCTACTCTGCAGACACAAATTCATAGTTTTGAGAACTGTATAAACAAGCTTCTGCAATATCTTCTAGACAGAAAAATTGCCCAATAATCTTACAAAAACCTCTGGAAGCGCATGACATTGTGAATGGATTAATGGAATTCATTTGCCAAACCCCATTTCCCCCTTAAAAGATGGTCAGGTGTATGAAGTCTTGCTTTGCAGGTATATTAAAAAATGGTAAACAATGGGTTAAAAGACCATGAAATGTAATAGGTATTGTTTGTGACATTTCTGTGCAGAATTCAAAATGATGGTTCATAGCTGTAACTGGTAATAAATAATGCTTCTGCTATCTATTTACTTGGCTTAAACAATTCAATGTTTATAATGTTTAAGGTGTCCATTTTCTGATGAATGCATTAAATCTGTTGGTAACTTAACACAGGGATCTCCATTAGGTATATAGATAGCAGAAGGGCATTCTTACTAAACAATGGTATATATTGCATTAGAGGGAAGAGAAGGAGAATTAACACAGTGAAAAAACAGACATGGCTGTTCTGTGATAATGCCTGAATACTTTTTTTGGTAGTGAATGAGTTGCCCATCTACTGGAAGCTTGCTGCACAATGAATCCTCTTCTGGCAAAAAAGATCCTCAAAGGAGTTTTAATCTTGGAAGTTTTTGGATTTGGTGGAGCCTATATGCTATATTACAAAATGGACACAAGTCAAGGTAAAGGGATGATCATGAAGAATAGGTTTCTGTCAGTGTAAGGGGTGATTGGAAAATTTGGAATCAGAAGAACTTTTGATAGTTTCCAATTTGTTTCTTAGTCAGAAGATAATCGAATGTAGTTCCGTTGCCAGGACTTTACAAACAAATCTAGGAACTTCAGTATATACTTTTTACCCAAATCTTGTGATGGTAAATGTTTACTTGGTTATTTTGGTCTTTTATTTTTCACATGACAGTGTGTTCCTCCAGCACAAGATCCTTCCTCCTAGGCTTTTTCTGCTGGTGAAAGAAATTCTTGTGGCAGACAGTCTCCTTGCGCTAGAGGAATGTGTATCTATTGAGCAGAGTGACAGGATACCCACTGTAACTTCCAACATTATACAGACTAAGGCTGCGGTCACATGGAGCATTAGGCACGCTAGAGGGACGGAAGATAGGCGGATTTTCCGGGCGCTGATTCTTCAAAAGTTACTTTGCGGTGTCACTCTGATGCGCCTGTCACAGTAATCAAGAAATGCTTTTGGACCCCTTCTAAACATAGTCAAAAGAGCTATTCTGATTTTGAAAATGAAGTTTGATTTTGAAACGAAGCGGTCAGCTTCTGATTCTAGATCAAGGATTAGATTAGGATCTAGAGCCAGAAGTAGATTGAAGTAGACTAGAATTCAGCACTTTAGAATTTTGGGGATGGGTAATGGGCACCACTATAAATTGGGTTCCACATACAGCAGACACAGAATGGGTTCTTTGGTGTGCTGAGGCAATCTCAAATTGTTGGGAAGTTCCAGGTCAAGCATTCCCCTACGATGGTGAATGGGTGCTTCTGCAGACAAAAAGGTGGCACCTGAGTTCTTCTGAAGCACCTCCTGCTCCAGTGAAGTACCTTTCTTCTTCTGAAGCACCTCCTGCTCCAGCGAGATGGAGGAAAGCCAGGAATAGCTTCTGCTTTGGGGAAGAGATGGTGTGTTGAAGCAGCAAATGAGCACCAGGAAACTCTAGTGGGTGCAGTGATACCCATGGGCACCACATTGGGAAACACTGTCCTCTAAAATAGGGGAGTTGTAATGTAACACTATATTATTGATAGTGCCAGTCATTCATTTTACATAGCACTTGGTTCCATTCTCACTTTTAGTCACTGATTCTACCAAAAGAATGTCAGGGGGTGTTATAGGAAACTTATACACTAGCTGATTTTTTTTTTGGATTTGCAGCTATCACATTCGAGGCTTCTTTCATGCATCAGCTGGCCAAGATAAAGCTTTTTCACGGTACCAACCAACCTTGTAAATCACGTTCGCTATTCTTTTCCAACATATTTGGATAGGAAGTTCTCAGAATACACTCTGAGGAACTAATATAGTAGTGCCACAGGGCATTAGTGGGACATTTGGCACAGCAAGCAATAAGAGTGAGTAATTGCATCATGCCTTAAGCCAAATTTCAAAAACTGAGCCAGGTTATGACAAGTACTAATATGCCACCTGGCCAGCAAGTCACCGTATGTCCACCAACTATACCCCGCCCCTGATTATGTAATGGTTTCACTTGATAGTCTCGTGAGTTCATCCTTTCATGCACCCAAGAGCTTGGTTACCTTCTGGGAACACATGGTTAGCCAGTCACAGCTTTCTAAATGAAAAGTTCCTAAAGTAACAGGCCTTGCTATGGAGATATGAATTTGGGCACTTTCTCCGAGCTGAATACACCCCTAAGAGATCGGTCCCTTTAAACACCTTCTCCAAGTGGTGTGCGAACTGCCTCCTGGAGAAAATGTCCAAGGAGCTAAAAAATGCAGCAATCCTGATTACTTCCTGAATCCCAATACCATACTGGGGATCTGGTCACACGGGCTGGATATCGCGGGAGGGAGGCGTGGCTAATTGCCCCGGCGCAGTTTGATCCACGATTACGCGATCAGACCCGCCGGCGGCACACCATGGGTCCTTCCCTCGGCGCCAGCAGGTAAACGAGGGATCGGAGGGGAATGCCACGCGCCGGCGCAATCACACCACGGGAATCTGGAGGCAGCCCGTGGCAGACGTTTACTAGTACTTTGGAGGTACTACTTTTTTAACGCGCATTTTCGGCTGTAAGCCACGAGTGCGCTCCACTTCCCAGATGTTGGGGTGTGATCGCGCCTGGATAATCCGCCCACTATCCGTGCCTCTCCCGCGGCAACTTTGCCGTGTGACCGGGGCCTGATATTGGTATTCAGGAATATCAGGAAATACCGATATTTTTCAGGTTCAATATACCCAAACCTGAAAAATACTGTTATTGTTGTTTGGTGCACATCCCTAATATGAATAGCCACCAGGGGCGATGCTGCTCTCTTCAAATACAAAAAATTCTACCCCACCCACCCAGACTAGTGATACTATGAGGCTCTATAGTTCCAACCTTGGAGACTGCTCCCAAGCAATAATCTTGCTTAATTTATTTCACAGTTCTGACCAGTGGGACAGACTTAAGAAGCCTGCTTTGTCTAGACTGAATATTTCTATTGTATTGACAAAGCTTGGTACAATACTTATGCTATCTATGACTTCCTCATCTCATACCACTGAATATATCAGCTCAGCTCAAATGTACAGGCAGCCCATGCTATGTGAACATATAGGGGGAATACTCAGAGCAATGTACCTTGCTTTAATTAGTTATTTCTGTTGTCAGTGGAAACTGTAACTTACTGTTACCACACGTACATAACTTACTATTACCACACTTACCATCAACCTATGGTACGTACTTTCACCGTAAACCAACCAGGATTCTAAACTGGGAACAGGAAACCATGGTTTTGAATACTTGTTTGCAGAAAAAGCCTAAAGCACCGTTTGGCAGTTCAGACACAGCAGCAAACTATAGGGTGCTGTGAAAGTTCAAGTAGTCAGCTGGCCTCATGTGAGCACAGGAGATATGCAAGTTCAAGGATCAGCCTTGGAGTGACAAACCACATTTGCAATTACATCTGAACTAAGTCATTTGGAAACAGTTTAATACAGTGGGTGAGAGCCAGGTTAGTCAGAATGTTGGACACCAGGGAGACCCTAGTTGAAATCCCTGCATGCCATTAGTCACAGAATGATCATAGAGCAAACAGACTCTCTGAGCCTAGACTACCTCACAGGGTTGTTATGAAGTTAAACAGGAAAAAGAGAGAACCCTGTGTGCTGCCTCAGGCTCCTCAGAGGAAGGGCAAGATAAAAATGCACTAAATAAATACATAAAATAAGTAGATATTTCAGAGGCAGTGTAGGTATTTATGAGTAATAACAAAACTAGGAACACATGAAGTGGTAAGTGGGTAATTGCTGTAACTAAAATCTGCTGCCATTCACCGTTAGACACAGTCTTCAGAAAGTTTTCATTTTCTCAGATTTCAGGCAAAAAATGAAAAGGAGATACCCATCTATCCTGAAAGGTATGTTTGACCTGCTTATAATATAGTGTGTTCCCATTTCCCCCTCCATTTTACTGCAAATTAAAATATAGCAGAACGTTTCTCCCCTCAGAATTAGAATAAAAGCATAAGCAATTGTATCTTTGAAAAATTCATTTGCTGTGTGAAAGGTAACAGCAACTTGTTATTTTTCACAGTTTATTACAAATGCAATGAATTGTCTGGTATTTATGGCCTACGGGAAAGAGATGAAGAGACATGGCTGAACAGTAAAAACTAGCCGTAAGT